CTCATAAATTTAGTAAGTGCACAAACTATACCTATCATCATCATTTAAATGACACAGGATAACAAGAACAGGATTTAATCGCAATATGGAAACAGATGAAACGACTATAGCAAAAGAAATCTTTTCAGTGGTAGTGCAAAGAGACTGATAACAAGCTTTATGAGATGCAGCAAGAAATCAAAATAAAGCAAAAAGAATTAAATTAAATTTAACAAGAATGAAAATGTACAATTAAAAAAAGAAAAAACGTATCGTAACATCCAAACACTCACACACTGCGGCAAGTGCTTGCATCAAAACCAGGAGGTAGATTTCCACTAGGAATTGGCTCAATCTGCAAAAAGAAAGGGCAAACTAAAAATGAGAAAAATGTATAACGGAAAACGACCAGGAGCTGTAGGATTCAAAATTGTTCCATGAGGTTTTCCAACCTAATACTGAGAAGTTAAAAGAGGTATGCTAATGCCTGTATGCAAGAAAAAGAACCTGATGTGAAGCAAATCGAATTATGAATATCTCTATATTTTTCAGAAATTTTTTGAGAACAAACAACAATAACTAATCTCTGTATTTGATATGTTTTGCTATTAGATCACTGTATTAGTTATGTTTTGTTATTAGTTCTGATTTTATTGTTAAGCAAATTGTTACTTTTCCTCTTTAAATAGCCTTGTATTCCGAAGATTATTTTAATGAGAAGAACTCTCTCTAGCTTATGTGAGATTATTACAAACAATCCAAACTAGTCCAAGTAAACGCACATACAATTTTCAAAACCGTTCAAATAGTTGAAATCATAAGCTTGGATAAATGAATCACTAAAATAATATGAAGAAGAGACAGACATTTATCCTATTCACTGAACAGGATGTAGGTATTCATGCCATTTATTTAACAAACTAAGAATAAAATGCATTTATTCCATCCTTCTTTGTTTAGTACCTCCATAACTTCTCGAAAAATGTATTTGCTTAGTTACCTACTTTATATACAAGCTTTCTATTTGTAGCGAAGAAAACTGTGAATGTTTAACCATGCAACCAAAATACAATCACAAACTGAAACTACTGCCAGCTAACCAACTTGAAAGATTGTATGGCTAACTAAACCCAGGGTTCTATCATTTTGATCGTCCCAAGTTTCCAGGATTCCTTTCAAGACACTTCCCAGATCAGAATGTTATTATACTGAATCCTCATCTCCGTGATAGAAAGAAGGTCAGAATCTGAATTTAAAATATGTTTTCCAACTAATCCAACTAGAAAAAGTACCCGAACGAACTCTAATGGGAAGGAGGAAAACAAAATAAACCAACCACAATCACGTACAAGTGAAAAGAAAATACATATTGTTTGGAACAGTACATAGGGAAGCAGCTAATCCTCTTTACTACAACAGCTGCTAATAACATTTTTTTAAAATTTGTGGGTGTCCGGGATAACTTGCACGCACCTCGACTAATCTCAAGGACAATTTGCCTAATCCTACATCATTCATTTGGGTGTAAAGGAAACTCGTATGATGACAACGCGCAATAACATTATCAGAAATGAATCCTATCATAACTCAGATGTTATCACGAACTTACAATCAACCAGGAGAAAAGATTTTATTAGAACATAAACTTAGGGAAAGAATATAAGACTAAAACAGCTTTGCCCAAGATTATATATAAAAAGTTAGAACGTAAAAATTCCCCCTAGGAAAATTCTTAGGTCCGCCCCTGATTGACATGATACCGTACCGGGTAATGTGAAGTGAAAACTTAAAAATAAAGCGACATATCATACGAATGCAGGCTCCCCTTCAAATTTGTAAATAATTCAAGTGTCCAGTATAACTCCACACTAAGGCTCGTAGCAAGAAAACACATAAACTAACCCTCATCCCGTTATTCTAAGAAGAAGCAATCAAGCTCAAAATCAATGGAGAAAAAGGGAACAATCAAACGTAAAGAATATAAATCAGTGATGAAAAGGAAGAAACTACAAATGGGAAGGAGCTGGGACCTGCGGAGGAGCTAGGAGGCCAGGGTGATAGAGAGACTGCTGCTGAAGAAGAGCTTGCTGCATCAAAGCTTGCTGCTGCTTCAGCCTCTGATGCTGCATTTTTTTGGTTTCTGCCCGCTCGGATTTATGCTCTTAAATTGCAGTAAGTCTAATTTTCCGACAAAGCGAAAGATTAGGGCACTGGTCTGGAACGAAGATCGTGTCAACGACCTCCAAGACGGGGAAGAGAGAGAGAGCTTGAGGAAGTTATGAGTGGCTCCTAAAAGTCCCACCCAATGGGCCGACCACGCTTATAAAGTGGAGGCCTCAAACCGGTCCAACTTCAAATGCAACGGGTCTAACCCACCCATTCCTTTCGACTTTGGTCGGATCAGCCTCAACCTATTTTTGACTATGACTGATTCTTGGGGTCAAACTTGTGTAGTCTCTGAAGTAGCCAATTAAATACTAATATTCTTTTTTTTTTCTTTAATTTATTCATTTTTATTTTTATTTAACTTATTTTAAATTTTTAGTATTTTTGTATTTATATTTTGATTATATTCTTGATGGTATAAAATTTCACTTAGTATTTTTTTTTAATTATTTTTTAATACTTACAAAAATTGTATACTAACTAAAAAGTGTCATATCTAAATTATAATATATATATATATATATATATATATAATAGAAGTTATATTGTGTATTTGTTATAATTATAACTATATAATAATATTTTTTATATTTTAGAAGAAAAAATATAATAATTTTGTCATTATATGGGATAAAATATTTTTCTTGTTTGAATAGTTTGAGTACGGGTAACGAGTAGAGAGGCACCATTTTCTAGTATCACACCGTTCTTACCTAGTTATTTTATATTGATCCAAAATAGATGGATCGGTGGTCATAGGTGTCTAAAAACCAATCACCAGTCTAAAGTCGAACAATAGAATGAAACATGTTGAAAGCTTTGGCAAGGTGAGCATGAGTAGAGTCAGTCTTGGTTGCAACGGTTCGCATAATGACCCTCCATGCGGCATATTTGGCAACGAGGTGGTGACGACCCTGGCCTGAACGGGTTCGTTCTCGGAAGGAAGAATTATTGTCGTGGGAATAAGAATGACCTCGTTGATTGCTACAAAAAGCCAACGGTTCGTGGTTGTAAATGACGCATGAGTGGAGTCAACAAGACTCAAGGGAGCACTAAACAGTATTAAAGACTAAATATGCTAAACACGAGAGAGGGGTGAGAGCCATGTGAGCAGTAGGATAAGTTGAAAAATTGGTGCCGAGTTCATGAAGGAACCAATGCACTTTATCAATGTTCTCGACGGGTCTGTCAATGGCATGAAACTGATCACATATTGTTTTGAAAGTACAGGTATACTCAGCAACAGGTTTGGTGTCTTGTTTCCAAGTCATCATTGAGTCTCAATTCACAGGCTTTCGAATGATGGTTGAACATAGTCTCTAACGCGAGACATCATGGCCAGCGAAAAGAATGATAACAATGGCTTCTTCGGTGACAGAGAAGAGCAGGAGACAGAGAATTCGTTAATCGGCCGTTTTCCACCCCCAAATATTTGAGGCTGAATGTTGAATTTGTTGCTAGTTCAAAGCGAGGTGGCGAAACCATAATTCCATTAACGTAGACCCGCATGTATTAACTCTTAAACACTGAGAAGTTGGTTTTTCCAAAGAAGATAAGTGAAGAAGAAAACTTGATTGTAATCGTATCGATATTATTACATATTTTATATATAATTTGCAAAGTAACAATAAAGGAGTCATTTTTTCATCTCTCTCCACGAATTTTGGGCTAGTAGTTAAGTATAACAACGACCAACTTTCTATTACATGTACGACAAATGTGTGACACTTGCTTTCAGTATAACAAACATGTGAGTAAAAATTAGAAATTGACGACGACTTCTATTGTGGGTCCAACCACCACTTATGTTTTGAGATAAATTTATTTTATAAGATATATGAGAGAAAAAAACGTTGAAAACATCATTGGAGAAAACAATGTAGACAACATCACATGAAAACTTTTTATAGTAACTCGTAACTAAGTGGACTCGTTACGTCCCATGTGAAAAATTAGTGAATTAAAACATAAATGACAAATGAACTTAATTTTAAAGTTATTTATGTAGTTACATATTTAGTATACTATTTTTCCATTTCACTCTAATATTTAACCGTGTACAAAATTACGATGACCCACTTAAAAAAAATTATATATAATTTATTAAAAAGATCGTAAGTGTTCATATGATCAGGTAAACACGATCAATGCAGATTATCCAACCCATAGTTTAGATTTTTTCAGTTCAGTTGAATTTTTTTAAAATAGAATATTTGGCTCGATTAATAATGACATTTTGTTAGTTGGGTCAAAACAACCAACCTGAAAATAGGGTTATTGTATTTGATGTATTGTAACTTATAAATGTTTGATATTTGAACCTTATAAAATTTTAATTATAGTTTTTAAAATAATTTTTAAAAAAAGAACCCGTCACCTCTCAACCAAACTTAACAATTAATAATAACAACAATAATAATAATAAATTGGTTCAACCACTTAAAATTTGAGATTGATCCAAAAGATTTTTACAGTCCAACTCAACTCGTATACAAGTGCGACAGTGGTGGGGACAACGGTGGCTCCAATTTTCCTCCTCGGCGACTCGACCAAGTCCTCTAGGTCTCTCATTCCTAATAATACTTATAATTAAGTCTACCTCGATAGGTGAGTTGCTTTATCTAAATAACCACAACAGATCGCCTTGACTATGGTTAATTAAAACTTAGCACAAGATGAAATAAAGTTTTAATTTGCTATAAAAAAAACCATAAGAACAAGAATTTCCTATCCAAAAAAAATTGATAAGATCAAGATCTAGTTTATCATCAAATAATCTCGGATTCGAATGGATCGTTAATTAAATAATCGAATTGTAACATAAATTGACAAGATGAACCATAATAATTCCATAATTATGTAAATGAAACATAGATGTAAAAAAATTGTTTGAAGTCAACAAATGATGATCTATAATCTGAGAATTAATTACAGAGCAATGTTCTTGTTCATATTCCTTGGAGAAGGGTAGGAGGATGTCAGGATTTTAAGGTGAAATTAAGCAGACGCTTAGATTATAATTTTGCCTACAAATTTAGATCAAATTGGTTGGAAGATTGCTGGGTTTTCTTCTCATCGCCGTTCTTGAATCTGTAGCTTTCTCCGGTCGGTGTAGAAGAACCAGAATATTGCCGGGAATTCACTTGATATGGTGCTCTGGCTGTAACTCTGAAAAAAAACCCACAAAAACAGGGGAAATTTTGTAAATTAAGATGGAAATTCAAGAAATTAGAGAAAATTTGTGAAAATTCAAATGAATTTTAATACCTGTCTTTTCTTTTCTCGAAGAATCGATGGAGGGAAGCTCTTCTTGCTATGGGTAAATCATCGGAGACTTTGGTCGGAGGTTGTTCTCTGGTGGTGACTGGTTCTGTAACCTTGTCGGAGACGACGGTAGCGGCAGATCTGGAAGAGGGCACGATTCCTTTACCGGCCATGGTCATGATCTCCTCCGCCTTCTCCGACGGAAGATCATTGAACACCAGCACTTTTCCGCAGTAAAAAATGGTCATCTGCGTGGCAGACGGCGGCAGAAAAAGCCCCACCGCCTCTTTCTCTTCTGGGTTTTCCATGTTTGTCAACAGGTTCATAATCGCCGGCGGCCGAGCCGTCGGAAACTCATCTGAAACAGAGCAATCAAAAGAACAACAAAGTTAGCACCGATCGGCTGCAAATTGGTTTGAATTAGCTAAAGAATTTCAAAACTCAGATAGCTAAAGTACCTTTTGGTTCAATTCTAGGGGTAATTCCAAGGCTTCTCTTCTCCTTCAAGTACTGACTCAGCAGATTACAAGTCTGAGCAAAACTGGACTTCTCCGGTGCCCGACCGGACCTCCGGCAGGCGGCGGCGGCGCTGTCCGACGGGTTAGACATGGTGGAATTGTAAGTTGTTTCAGATCTGAAGGGCTCTTGTGTGTTCAAATTTCTTTAGATACTTAAGAAACTTGCAAACATTGAAGATGACAGGAAGAATATAAAGAAGAGCTGCTGCCTTCCTTGCATTTTCTTGTTTTTCTTTTTTTTTTATTATTTTTTTTTAATGTCTTTTGGAAATTATTAATTTAATTAATTTATTAAAATTATAGCACGTGTTTAAAAAAAATTAAATTAAAAAGGGAAAAGAAAAAAACAATTATTTTCTGAACAACTTAATTCAAGGGACGAAAGTTGAGAGGCGGTTTCTCATCAATGCCTCTGTATCTTCACTTATTTACGAAATTGTCCCAAACCTCAATTTCGATAATTACTCAAAAATTTAAGGACCTCTTTCTAAATAATTTTCGGCTATTTCATGTAATTAAAAATAAAAATGTGGTACAAAATGAAAATTATTTGGCAGCGGGTTACGACACTTTCAAGATCCGACAAGTTTGTTATTTAAATTTTAAATGTGGTAATAAATTATGTTTTTAAATAGAAAAATTGATAAATAAATTAGAAAAGAAATAGAGGGAATATGGTGAATAATGAAAAAGGGGAGGGTATTTTGGTAATAAAGGAAGAAGCGGTGTGGAAAGCGTGGCGTCAACGAATAGGAAAAGTCAGGGGAGGGGGCTAGCTGCGAAATCCACGGGCACAGGCGGAGGCGGAGGCGTGCCGACAGTGCTGAAAATAAGGAGTGGGTCCCGTTATGTTTTTTTTTTTTTTTTTTCTCTTTTTATTATAATTTATTGTTAGTAATTGTTTGAAACGGTCTTACCACGTGTTAAATTTATATTTAACACGTGATAATTTAAATTTCCAACTCCACCGCCCAACTCGGCGGTTCTCCTCTCTCTCTCTCTTCTATTCTTATTTTTACTTTTATTTTTATTTTTTAATATTATTCCGTATTTCATTGTCTATTCTATTGCATCGTATTCTCTATTCATTTCACTTTCCCTTTCCACATTATTCCATTTTATATATTTTTTAAATTTTAAACGCTTTATTTTATTTTCAAATTAAATACTTTAGGAAATATATATTTTAAATTTTATTAACGGCCAAAGATTAAATTGGAAGTTGTTAATATATTAATCGCTAAATAATATTTTTTAAATAATTATATTCAAAATAAGAATGTAACTTAATTGAGATATTTTAAAATTTATATTATTATACTTTACAATTTAAATATAATAATATGAAACAACTGGTGGGTACATGTGAATTCATTTTTTTAAGTACAATACATATACCTTTTATATTATACGAGCTACACGTGAATAAATTATTCATTATATAAAGGTAACAAGTAGGTTTAGTATACCACTAGCATGTAGGTTAAATTATTATTACTTTTCTTAAATCTCTCGCCTTTCAAATAAAATTTTAATTTCAAAATAATGCTAAATAGGCTTTTGCCTAGAAATTTAGCGATGAAAAAGTTTATATATGATCATGTGAACTACGTTATTGTCATTTTTTTTTCGTTCAATCTCATTTATTTATGAATTTTTCGCTAATTTAACCCCTATTTTTTTTTTTTGTATGCTTTTAATATTGTTCATTTAAACAGTACATAAATAGAAATGAATGATTTTAGTGGTATATCTAAATAGTTGTTTTGAAAAAAAATAAAATAAAACTGGGTGTATAATTATAAAAATAAAAATAGAATATAATTGGGGTGTATTATGAAGTAGGACACGTTGCACAATATCATTGGAGGGCCTGAAACAGCTAGCTAGATTGCCGCGGAACATATGAAACACGTGGGCGTATTTCATTTTGAGTGGGTCAACTACTTTAAGTTACGAATTTAAATCTCATCAGAGGGAATTAAAATAAAGCACTTAACACCTGTATTTGAATATAATTTTTTTTAAAGTTTTTATTTTATTTTATTTCTTTTTTTAATTATAAAAAAGTTAGACTAAGTCAGATAATAATAATATATACGTCATAATTTATATTTCGTATATCAATAAATATATAATTGCACTTTTTAAATGAATATCAATATACTAATAATATACGTAAAATAAATTTTAAATGAGTATTTATATGTTATTGAAATACGAACGATATGCTTTATATAATTATTGGGATGAAGGTTGGTAAACTAATCTTACAATAAAGTTATACTTTGGTGCATATTTGAATGTATATCAACTGTAATATTCCACTTTTTGATAATCTCGAGCCACAAATTGCTATAATTGACCTAAACTTTAAATTGAATCGACATTTTCTAATTTTAGAAAAGTTAAAAAACAAGTGTCTAACTAAAAAAGATCGAGCCAATTGGAAAATAAAGTCAACAAAAAAAGTCAAACTCATGACTCGAGTCTATCTTGACTTCTATAGCGGCATAACTTAGGTCTACTTTCACCTCGATCGTGCAACTTGTGTGCGGTATGAATTACTTTAAACTTAATATTTAGGGTAGATACAGTAATTAAATATTTAAAAAATTCAAACCATTGTACTTTAAAATTTAAATGTAATATTATATAACAACTCCTTGTACATGTGAATTAATTGTTTTTTTTATTAATTAATAAAAGAGAATTTTATATCTGGTTAGAATAAGTGATTAAAATCATGCCACGTAACAGCTTTTTTTTTTCTTCCTTTTATTTATTTTTTTTAAAAATAAATTATAAAAAGAATTATTCACTAATCTTAACCCATAAATTCAAGAATTATAAATTATATATATTTTAAAAAATCTATAAACATTTTGAAAATACAGATGGAATAAAATTGGGGTCTAGTCACAAGCATGACACGTTGCAAAATCTCATTGGAGGGGCTGTAAGAGCCAGTTAGATTGACGGGGAGCATGTGAAACTCACGTGCGTGTTTTATTTTTTTAATATTTATTACAATAACCGGTCTCCCTTTTGGGTTTGACCAATAATTCCACCAAAAACATATAACAATATTAAAAACAAAATTGAAAAAAAAAATAGTCAATTAAAATTTAATTTTAAAATCATTAATGCATAAAATCACATATATTTAAGGTTTTTTTAAATGTAAATTAGAGAAATGGGAGAATTAAATAAATATTAACGGATTTTTATTAAATCTCAATAATTTTAAGAACTAGTAAGTAACAAATTAGATATAAATAAAATTTAATTAATTAAAAAATTGGAATGAAAATATTTATAAAAAAAAAAATTTTAAAAAAAGGAATTATGAATTAAATTGGAGTAGGTGAGATGGGGCAATGTATGAAATCAAAATGGATGGGATTATGAACCCATGAACCTAAACCACTTCTCAATTATTGACTAAAAACACTGCCCGCTCTGCCCCACACCACGACTATTGCCCTTTCCATAATTAATTCAACACGTTTTTCTTTTCCAATTAATTCTTTTTTTTTTCTTTTTCTTATATTTTTAATATTATATTTCGACAACGCGTCCGGGAGAGGAATAGAAGTGGGTTACCAACTCGAATAGAGTTTATAATAATCCAACACAACTCGTGAGTTTGAGTTGGGTTGGATTGTCGGATTATTTTTTTTTATTATTTAAAATATATATATATTATTTTTCTATGATACATGTTATATTAATAACTAAATTTTTATAAAATTAAAATATGAAATATTCTTATGTTACCATTTAACTAATATCGATTACCTAACCACCCTAGATTTTAGCTACCTAAAATTGCTACCTTCATCTTAGTTTAAGTTTGCATGCGGAATATAACTCTTCAAACATTATCAGTTAAATAATAAAGTTTATAATAACATACGTGTTCAAAACATAATTCAGAAAATGAAATAATTTAAAACATGAAATGTGCGGAGTTTAGAAAATTAAATATGTTTCTATCTTATGCATGTGTCATGATCTTTGCTCTACGATGCCACCGTCAAGTGTTCATGGGCACCTTGCCTTTGTCTGAAAAATGATGTATCACACGGTCTGAGTATTTTGAAGAATACTCAATAAGTGACTCCACTATAGGGGTCGTGAAAAATGCAAACCCATACAATAATGCTCTAGGGAACTATCATTAAAATATCCTAGGGGTGGCCTCTAGTTCGGACTACGTTGGATCTGTAGTATTTTCCTACACACGACCCACATGTGCGAGAGTGAATCCCCAGACAATTCACACCCCCCGGACTCATCATGGTTGAGCTAGCTGTCCAGAGGTCAGCAAACCCCTGAACGTCAAGCTCGACATGATCACCTTTATCATCGTAGCATACGCATCTGTATTCATCATCTTAAATGAGAAAGCATCCCAATGCTTATGTACATTCAGAAATGAATGATGCTCCTATAGTTTCTCGTTTTTAAAACTTCCTTGTGACAGAACCCTAGTTTCATCGTTATATTACTAATAGTAATATATGTGGATTAGTTTTCCATCTTAACCTCGTAAATAACATTTCTTTAGGGTTGTGTCTTAGGCCGAATCATCAACATAATGCAATATGACATTCACAACATGCATCTCAACTTAATATGGAAAATTACGTCATATTAAGGAAATAACAACATGTATTGTCATCGTTATCATCATACATCGTTAGCACAACGCTATCGAAACATGTCATAATTATCATAACACATCATCAAACATAATCGTACATCATCATAAGACTCATACAAGTCATCATACATCATAGATCATACGTCGTATGTCATAAGTATAAAGCATAAAGGACACGTGTCGGTGCCACTAGGCACGTGTGGTCATACATCAAGCAAGTACGTGGCTAATCTATAGTACGCCCACTTACTTGATTGGTCTTGGCCGGCATTCTCCCTAAATTAATATACGTTAGCTCCCGTTCTTCGAAAGCTACTCCAAATATCGTCGGGGTTCGTTTGTTATTAGGTGATCCTGCTCCTTTAGTTAGTATTTTACCATTCAAAATTAAAATTTGAAATTATGAAATAGGATACGGTATGGACCTTAATTACCTTAATTAGGGTCGAAGTCGGCCTTGAGAGGGTAAAAAACGTAGGGTACGGTGTCCAATTTGTTAAACCGAGACTCCGAGCAGT